ACTTCTTCTTCAAGAGGGTCACTCCAAGGAGCATGACTACAGGGACGAACGAGAATGGAAAATTCAGGAATCCACAGGCATTGATAAGCCCAACACTCTCCTCCTAGGAGCCAAGAAAAGACTCATGGGAGAAAAGAATGTCCGTGAGGCAGGCTTATACAGGATAAGAGGAGGGTGTGGTATGAGGCTGGCACCTAGATAGAGACGACTGAGCAATAGGGTTGAACAGAGTATAAGGGAAGGAAAAGGCAGAGAACGAAGGTGAAAAGTCCAGGAAGGAACAGGGCAAAGATAGATACAGTGAGCAAGAATGAAAGGTTAAGGAAAGTAACTGATGATCAAAATGGGATTTAGGGTGTCTAATGACAATGTAAACACATGGGACACCAAAATGATTGACAAGAAGCCTCTTAACTCCCAGCTTATACATACCCAACACCAAAGGAATTGATACAGATGACAGGATAGCCAGGGAAAAGAATGGAGGGAAGTCCCTAGAGACAGCTATGATGAAACGATGAAGCCTGAGGGGATACAGAGCTCCAGGAGAGAAGGTGAGAGCTTATTATAAGAAGAGCGAGGATGGAAGATGGGAGACCATCTTCTTCTGCTTACCTGGAATTGGTTTGCAGGATTTACCAAGGACCTGAAATTAAATTCAGTAAATAATTTCTGAGCATCTGTGACTTGCCAAGTACTATGCTAGGTCCTGCGTTAAGATGAGTAAGTTTGGGCCTGCACCAGAAACCACAGCCTCAGAAAGCAGCCCTATCATGGCCAACCCACCACCACTAAACCTCAGACCTATGGCTCTTTGTACTCGAAATATCTCAAACATGCTCTTTTTATTTAAGTCACAGACCTGAGAGAAGAATCCTTAGTCCTTTCCAAATAACTTCTGAGCCAACCCTCATCCCATCCTGATGTTTCACCTGAGTTGGGTAATTGACAAACTGTAGTGCTGAGTTGCTGGAGACCATGGCACCCAGATAGGAGATAGAACAGGCAGCATAGAGCCAGCTCCGAGTACGATCCACTCTGGCAGTGTCAAAAAACTGGATCACTAGAAGACAAAAAACAGGCAAGAAAAACCTGGTGGGCCTAGAATGGAGAATGGACCACTGAGCAAAAGTTGAAGCCATATGAAAGACACTTGTCTGTCAAACAAGATAAGACGTACAAGTTATTTCTGTCCTCTTGTACTGGAAAATCTCTGTAGATTACAAGACCACACGTGGGGCAGAGATGGGACACTCATTCAGTTCAAGGGACCAGTTAGCCTGCTGCTAGCTCCCAGGGAACAGAGAGAAAGCTCACAACATACTTGAAGCTGACACATAAAAGAACATCAAAGGGACAAAGAAAAAAATTAAGTATGCTCAGTGGGGATCTGTAATACAAAAGACAAACTCTCTGCACATTTCTGATTCAGTTGGTCAAATTTAAGGAAACAGGGTTTTACTCCATTTCAAAGCCATGTGTTTTATAGACTAAACAGAGAGGCTGTGTGTGTAAATGCTAAAGGGGGTGGTAGATCTTGAGAGTCAGACCTTAAGGTTGGATCACTGTCTAATGTCCAGGATACAAAGGGGATGGAGCACATAACTGATTACTATCTGGATACTCACAGATTTTGGCAAATAGAGCATTGATCACACATTGGATGAAGACCAAAGTTAAGGCAAAAGTGAACGTCTCCTGCTTGGCTCCCTCCCCATACTTTCCTCTTGTTCTAGGAATGAAATGCATGAGAAAGAAAGGAGAGGAATCAGTATATTTCCTTCAGTGTCATCTAATATGTCCAGAGCTACTGAAAACTTTGAAATTATCTTGCCTCTCTGGAGGTAGAGAGAGTTTGGTAAGGATCACCGGGCTCATTTACAAAAGGGGCCGATTTTATTTGATTTAAAAACTAAACATCCCAGCCTGCTAATCCTGTAGCCTAGGACAAGAATATCCATAAAGGATGTAGTTAGATGAAACGTAGAAAATTAGATGCTGAAACGAGGTACCCCAGGCAGCCAAAGGGATTTGGGCTACAGCTGCAAGGCCGAGGGCGAAGAGTCAGCTGTCTACAAGCATCTAAGAGCTCCAAGGAGGTCACGGAAAACTGTTTGCGGGGTATAAGTCTCAGCCTGTAAAACCCAGGCCCTTAGAACCAACAGGGAAAAAAGGCAATTAAGGGAAGAAAAATCTGCAGGTCCCCAGAATCCAAAGACCAACTTTCGCGTTTTGGAAATCTGGGGAGGCTGAGCCGGGCCGTAAAGGTGTTGGGGTGCTGGAAGGGCGGGAGGGCAAGAGGGCACACCCGAGGCAAGGGCTTGAAGACCAAGAACCCGGCTACAGGCTTGGGGACGGGGCGCGGAATAGCGGGGAATGTCTGCTTTCAGACCCGGGGGACCGCTCACATCTTTTCCTGCAGGATCCCATAGTAGAAATAGCAGACGAAGACGCCAAAGAAGCAGAGCGGTAGCCGCAGCCGGTCGGGCACCAGGGAGCTGCTAGCGGCCATGAGACGCCCGGAAGACCCTACTGGAGACCCGCTCACAGCCGGCAGCGGCAGCGGCGGCGACAGCTCCAGCCGGACATCGCCGACCGGCGATAGGGGCCTCATAGGAGCTGCATGCGACAGCCGCTCAGCAGGGCCCAACGGCCACCGCCAGAACTGCCAGCTCAGGGCTGCCCAGGGGGGAACGCCTCAGAACCCAGAAACCGCTTCCAACGTAAGGAAACCCACCCTGGGACCTTGGCTTCGTCTCTAGTGGCCAGGGGAGCCAGCTGTCCCGAGGTTAATGTCTTGCCCTCGAGATTTTCCGGTCAGGCAATTCCGAGGACAACCACAACTCGGAGCTCCATGGGACGACCTACGAGTTATGCGGGCGTGGAGTGATGACGTATAAGGATGTGGAGGTCACCGATTGGCTGCGCTGTGTGAAGACAGACGGGTGGGAGGAGAGATGATGATGCGGGCGGCGGGGCAAATTGAATTGTCTTTTTCCCTGTTGGCCGTCAGGCTTCTACTGGGTCCTAACGCCAGAAATTCTTAGTGGAGCCTTAGCGCCCCCTAGCCGCTGCCCAGCGACTCGACCTCCTCTATCGAAAAAGCGTTCAAAGGCCCAGCTGGCCCAGCTTTTGAGAACGGTCCTCCTCCCGTGGCACTTCACCGGGCTTCCGAGGGAGGCGGGGCTTCTGCCCCAGCTCCTTCATTTAAAGGCGGGGCAACCTAGGCATGCCACCTAAATTCCGTGCCAGTTTTCTCTTTGTAAACTAGAGATAATTAGTAATAGCCGTCCTGTCGCCTCTTGATTGTTCTGAGGATGAAATGAGCTGAGGTTTGTGAAAGTGTTTTGTCAACTGTAAAGTGTGCTGTGCGAGTTTAAGTATTAATTATTCTTTCTCAACTCTAATCGGATTTCTTCATAACCTGGAGGTGGAAATGGAAGCTAACTGAAGTCAATTTTCTTTGGCCTTACAACTTACCAACAATGGAGCAAATCCTCCCGCTGCCCTCCAGATTCTTTCCTATGAATGAGCCCCTTTTTGGACCCCTCCCTCATCCAAGTGTTGGACATCCACCTGCTGGCAACAAGAACTTGGGCAAGCCTGACCCCAGGTCTTTCCACTACCCACCCTGAACTCTCACTTAATTGTACTCTGGGCTGCTAGCTGGTTAGTGGCTCCTTCCCCTTCTCCCCTTCTAGCAGCCGGCTCCTTTGGCACAGCCTCGGGCAAAGGAAGGAAACTCAGGGCAGCACCACACCCATCACTTGGGGCCTGACTCACTAAGGCTTTGGGGAACAGGCCAAATATCTTTGAGGGGGAGGGGTAAGAGATAGAAGATGGGGTCTGTCCTCAACTCCCTCTCTCCTATATACTAGTGGGGGAGGAGTGACCTCCATACATTAGCTCTTGCACCATGTCTTAGCCATTGAGTCAGGGGTACCAGGGCACCAAGCAGCAGCTGGATGAGACCTGGGTTCCAGGTCCCAACTCTGCCTCTTCACCAGCTGGGATTTCAAACAATTCACTTGACCTCTGGGTCAAGTTTCCTCATCTGAAATGAAAGGGAATATAATAACAAGTGGGAGAGTGTTGTGGTTAGAAGCATGGGCACTGGGTTCAAATGACCTGGTTCCCAATCCCAGCATTGTATCTTTGTCTTTGGGGTAAAATTACTCAATCTTTCTTTCCTTCCCTCAGGAGTACAGTGAGATTTATCACATTTCTCTCATTGGGTTGCTTTAATATTTCAATGACATTTATGCAAGCACTTAGCAGTGTTATCTGATGCTTACCAAGCCAATGTATTGCAGTTGGGATAGCTGCCTTAGGAGTTTGTCTTGAGGTCTTTCAGATAGATACAACTGTAGTTATTATGGGGATTAATGTGTCTTTTGTGAAAATGCTTTGTAAATTGCAAAACACCATCAGAGCCCGGCCAGGCGTGGCTCAGCTGTTGAGCATCGACCTAGGGTTGCAGGCCCGGTCCCCAGTCGGAGGCGTGCAGGAGGCAGCTGATCGATGACTCTCTCATCACTGATGTTTCTCTCTCCCTCTCCCTTCCTCTCTCTGAAATCAATAAAGACATATGAAAAACAAAGCAAACACCATCAGAATGTTGGGATGGTTATTCCCATTTCCCCCAAAAGCCTCAGAGCCCTTACAGGCGTGGCACTGTATTAGCGAAGAGGCAGCAAGAGGATAAGAGCAGTTTCTCCTACTAGTCAAGGAGCATCCACAATGTCACATTGTCTTCCATTGGTCACCCTCACTTCCTCTCTGAAATCCACTCTACCTAGAGAGCTTTTCCAGACCCACTCAAGAAAGGATGACTCCCTCCACCACACCTCCACCAAGCTTGAGGACAGGGACTCTGTGTTCATCTACATCATTATGTATTAAGTAAAGGCTCCTCTTGAAGACAAGGGGGAAGTGATCAATATAATACCCTCAATCTCCATCCCACTCCCCACCCCCAAATATTGCACAGAACCTCAAACTGCTGGGAATACTTATTTATTTGGTCTATTAACACCAAGATCTGCAAAAAAAAAAAAAAACACAGACAAAAAAACAACAACAAAAACAAACTTCTAAACACAGAATAAGAAAACTTGAACATTAACATTCTTCTTCAATTTTGTGAAGCTCTGCGGTACGGAAAATATACAAACTTCAAACAGCTGCAAAAATAGTGTCTTTGGGAGAAAATAGAGTTTCTACATTGATACAAGAAAAATAGGCATTTTTCTAATCCAACCCAGTCCTGGGGCAGGTGGAGGGTATACAGTCACCACTTGCCACCTGGAGGAATACCAGCTCTCCCCTTCCCCCACTACCCACCTGGGGCTGGGCAGGTTGGGCTGCTGCTTAAGACAATCTTAGTCAGGACGAAAGCGAGATGAAAATGCCACTTGGGAAAACGCTAGGGTCCCCTTTCTGCCAGCAGCTGGATTGGTCAAGTGTTATGGCCCTTTAGGGCTGCTTTGGTCAGCTCCTATAATGAGAGGGAAGCATGGGGATAGAGGCTGAGAGAATGGGGGTATCTATCTTCCGGTCTCCTCTTCTGTCTGTAGAAAGGGAAGAAAATCTGTCATGTCCCCTCTCCGCTGATCATGGTGAGCTTGCTCCATGACAAAGACAAGGGCCCCATATACAGTCCTTTGGACTCACACCCAGGGGTGAGGGACCCAAGACCTTCTGGGTGAGTTTTCCACCAAGTGAGAAAGGTGGCAAGAACACAAGTGTGACTTGTAAGCTGCCCAGCTGCTAGTGGAGAAGGCAGGTCCCTTTGCACTCAGAGGGAACTGCGTCCATCAGAAAGAGGACCCAGGGCTTTGACACAATAAATGAAAGTGCTCGAAGGCCGAGAGGGAAGGGCTCCTTTATCTCCACCTCAGGGGAGCTAGGGAGGGGCCTGCCACCAAGGCACTGGTCTCCATGGAAAAGTGGTGGGGATGGGGCCCTCAGACCACCAGGGAGCTCTGGAAAAGCACGGGCTCTTCTGATGGTGGGGTGTGCTGCCACGGCTCGAATGGCAGCGAGGAGGCCTTGGAGGCCTCTGGATCCTTCCGAGGCGGTGGCCTGGGGCTGGCGGGAGGAAGAGGGGCCCCCGGGCTTGAGGGGCAGTTACGGAAGATGAAGCCCATGCTGGGGAAGAGGGGCTTCATCAAGCTGACGGGGCAGAAGGCCGAGCCGGTGGGGTTGAAATGGACTTTGTTCTTGTCAGGACAGGAAGTCACGAAGGCCAAGTCAGGACCTGGAGACCTGGAGGATGGAGAAACACCCAGATATACACATGTGCACACATACACAGAGCAAGTGAGCGAGAAGCCACCAGTGAAGAGATGAGGGATGTCCCAGCGTCAGGAGAGTAGAGGAGCTGGGTCTCTGTTCAAACAGGAAGGTAACTTGACCAAAAAACGAAAGGCTGCTGAGCAATAACCAGTCGTTAGGCTCCTCGGATCTTCATGTTTTAGAAATATGGCTGAGCAACGGGAAATCTACTTTAGCTAGAAACAGGAGGGATTGAAGCTAGACAGGAAGGAGAACTTCTTGACAATGTGATTCTAGAAGAGACTAAAGAATCTTTTAACTTGGGAGATTTCATCAGTGAACACAGTTTTGGGGGGCAGACCCCTTGCCTGAAAGCAAAGGTCCAGGCAAGTGACTTTCTAAGACTTTTTCCAGTCCAAAGCAGGGTTTCTCGGCCTCAGCACTATTGGCATTTTGGGCTGGATAATTCCTGGTTGTGGGGGCTGTCCTGTGCATTTTAAGATGCTCACTGGCATCCCTGGCCCCTACCTACTAAGTTCCAGTGGCACCTGACCTACTTCTCCCCAAGCTGTGACAACCAAAAATGTTTCCTGACATTGTCAAATGTCCCATGGGGGTAAAAACTGTCCCCTATTGAAATCTAATGGCCTAAAGAATCTTATTCTTGAGCACATTGGGAAGGTATAATTTCCAAAATCCTTGCTGGGAGGGAAGGATAGCAACCATTGTGAGAAAGACATTCAGACCTTATCAGGAGCTCTAGGTTCTAGCTCACCATGTGGTCTTGGCCTGATCTGTCTCACCTGTAACGAGGAAAGAAACATCCCTACCCTTCTGATCATGCAGGGGAAATGGAAGGGTAAAAAAGGAGGTTAGGTAGGAGAGTTCTAGAATAAGGAATCCTTGTGATTAAAAAAAAAAGTATAACCATGTTTCAAGGTTCAAACAGCCAGAGAAGCTGCTGGTTGTGAGGAAGACAAATGTGTCTGAAGATGGGGAAGCTCTGTTGCCAATGCTTTCCATCGACTATCTTTCTCTTGAAGTATAATATGTATACAGAAAAAGGCACTCAGTGTATAGCTTGATAAGTTGGTTACCATTTTAATTGTAGATTCTAAGAATTTCAAACCCAGGAAGAAGGGTGAGGTATGAGCCCAGCTGGCATGGCTCAGCGGTCAAGCATCAACATAGGATCTAGGAGATTGAGGTTTGATTCCTGATCAGGGCACATGCTCGGATTGCGGGCTTAATCCCCAGCAAGGGGCATGTAGGAGACAGCTGATCAATGACTCTCATGTTTCTATCTCTCTCTCTCCCTCTCTCTGAAATCAATAAAGATATATTTTTAAAAAATAAAATAAAAAGTGAGGCATGAGGAAGAAGGCAGAGGCTGGCACAGAGTAAGAGGTGGAAAGATGTGGGGTCCCAAAGGACTCCACAGTAGCAAGGTGTCCCCTGACCTAGCAGGGTTTAAAAGCTTGCTTCATGGAGGAGTCGGGAATGGGCAGGAGAGGGAATGCTCTCGGTGTGCGCAGGCACACGTGAGGAAGTTGACCCCGAGACCAAGCAGTGTTTGAGGGACATGAGGGCAACGAGCATGCTCCTGAACAGCTGATTCCCTCCCTGGGAAATCCAGGCAATCTCACGCATTCAGAGGCTAGGAAGGGAAACGTGGCAAAAGAACCACTAACTTCCCAATAGGAAAGTTCAGCAATGAAGAGACCACAATGAGGTGAGAATTTCCATCCCCGGATATCTTAGAAAGTAAGTGACGGATTAGCACCTCTCTAAAAGGGTTGACACAGGGGTAGGAATCTAGATGAGATGACTTTAAGACCTCTTCCAACACTGTTTACAAAAGAATCAAGGCAAGCAACTGCCTAATTTCCACAAGTAATTTGAAGTTGTAATTACTCAGCTATAACGTGGACTGGGGAAGGGCACTATTACACAATCTGGCCTCTTCCCTCCACATCACCCCAGAGGACCCAGGGCTCTGGAGAGATACCAGGCAACAATGATGATGCGAGAAGCACCTCAGTGGCTATGATTTTTCTCCTTAATTCCTACTCTGGGTAATATATGTACCTCCTGCTACTACCATGGGCTGTCCTCTCCCTTACCTGAGATACAAATGGAGCCCTCAAGGTCACAAACACTATCCCAGCTAGATGTCCACTCACACTCCATGACTAAACTTCCTGACTGCCATGGACACCAAAACTTCCATGGTGAATCTGCCTTGATGAATATTAAAGCTGGCTGGGGTGAGGGGGAGAATAAAATGAACTCTTAGGGTGCCTATCAAGGGGTGCTGGCTGTGTGGCTACATGGAAAGGTCAGCTCTCAATGCTCTCTGCTAATGGAAGAATGGCTTCTGAATTGTCCAATCAGGTTTGGGAATATTCCATAGTCATTACTTGCAAGGACTGGAAATTTCTATCTGGACATTCATGCCACTTGAACTTCTGTAGCTAAAGGGTGAAGACTTGACTCAGAAGCAATGAGAAAGCTATTTAGGATCTCCTGCCCCTCCAGTGGGGGGAGAGATAATTTTCATCTCTGCCTGAAGGGAACTACTAATATATTCTCTCTCTCTGATTATGGTCTAGCAAATTCTCGCACTTTCCCCAGGGATGGAAAAAAATAGAAGAAACAAAGGGTTTAGGTTTCAGAGCTCTTTCCTTTCCAGCTCCTGCTGCGCTTGTGGCTGACATGTGGGCAGAGAGCAGGTTTCTATGGAGATCATGATAAGCAAAGATTTAGTGCTTAGAGTAGGTAATGTCAACAAGTTTGATCATGGAAAATCTGCAGTACTAATAATCTGAAGTTGACCGCACCTTTACGATGAGCGAGAGTCCAAGATGGAAGGAGGGCCTGTCAGGTGGGACAACACAGGGCGGCTCACCCCCACATCCCTGTCCCTCCCTCCAAAGTACTTACGTGGCCTCTTCAAACACACGCACTCTCTCACAGCCTTCCGGGGGCTCCCGTTTGAAGACGTAGCTGTGATTGGGCCGAGGGGAGGAGGCAAACGCAAGGACAGGAGATGGGCTGCCGTCTTCAAGGAAGGCTGAGTGGCCTGGAGGGGAGGCTGCAAACAGAGCAAGGCTGAGTCCAGTGGAGCTGAAGGAAGGATCTCCACCATCCTCAGCTTAGGCCCTGGTGTAAAGGGAAGAGGCTGGAAAACACAGTATGGTGGGGCGCAGGGGTCATGCTAATCCAGGTTGTTTATGTATACTCTACTCTAAAAGATCTTTGAGGCAGCTTACAAAAATACATATCCTGTTATACAGGATAAAAAAATACAGTTGAATTGATGGAAAAATCAGGCCTAATACCAATTCTATATTCCTAGGAGATAAACAGTGATTGGAAGTCCAAATCTTGAACTTAAAGGAATCCCAATTTCATCTCTCTCTGCCTTCTTCCAAGACTGCACCGCCCTGCCTGCCAACATACCACAGCTTCTTCCTTTCCACAGCCTTGAAAATCTATCCCTTCTTCCAGGAAGAGCTCTTGTACTGACTCAGAGAAGCAATCTTTACTCAACCCCACTCGTGGGATAAAATTCCTCTTGCTTTCCACACAGTGAATGTACTTTGCCTAGGTTACAAATATTGACTTTTATCTGTATTTATCTCACATTTATTCCTATTACTCTATGCTCTGTTTACCGCTGTGTATTGTTAGATCCTGCCCTTGACCAGCCTACCTCATGGGGTTGCTGTGAGAATCAAATTAGGTGATGCAGACAACAGTGTTTTATAATGTCAGGATTATTACTATTGGGAGGAAGGACTCATATCTTATACTGTTTGTGATACAGCCAGGGTACAGCAGAAGGTAGAGATTTGGAGTCAGAAAGCTTGGGTTTCCATCTGGGTCAAAGAAGGTGACCATGGGCACATTCTCTTATTTTATGTTATTGACAACCACCTATTGCTGGTAATAGGTACAGTGGACGCCTGAACAGACTCAAGGGCTTTCCACCAAATATGGGGATGGGAGAGAGTGCTTCTTTGGGTTCCAGTGAGGATTAAATAAAAGTATTGGTGCAGGGACTTGATGTAAACTACAAATCAATATCAAGGACCATTGTTATTACTGATATAATATATGGAATAAAGATGACTCACAAAGATATTCCAGTTGCATGGTAAATAAAAATGCCAGGCCTGAAATTGATTAGAGGCAGAAAGGGGAGTGGAGACGCCCCTGCACCCCCGAGTGGGCCCTGCTGCCTCAGCCTCCTCAGCTTACCTTTGTCGTTGGGGATGGATGCCAGCTCCTCAACTGCACCCCGATGTTCCTCACGGCTGGTCTGGCCAGAAGGCTGGGGGGATGCCAGAGGCATGGAGGGAGAGCTGGAGAGGTTGCCAGTCTCCAGGAGGAGGAGGGGGTGATCACAGCTGCTATTCTGGGGGGGAGCTGGGGCACGGTGCCCATCAGGGATATCAAGGATCTGCCAGGAAAAGGGTGGGTGATGACTCTCAGGCCTGTAGAGCTTCGGGGAACCTCAGGGTACTCCCTTGTTCTCATCCTCTATTCATAACACACAGTGACAATGGGACACCATTTCCTCAAGTCACTGACTTCCCAACCCCTCCACCCCAATCTCAGGGAAAACCCCTCCTAGTTCTCCCCTAGCACTTCGTTCTTTCCCTCGTAGCACTTGCAGCCCAATTTATAATTACATATTTATTTGATTTCTCAATGTGTCACCCCCACCAGGCTTTAATAAGCCTCACAAGGGCAGGGACCTTCTGTGGGCCAGCGACCAGGGCACTGTAACTGCTGTAGGCCACTGTAGGACAAGTATGCAGAACATCACTGTGTACTAAATACCCCTCCCCCCTCTCACATTCAGTGGCACCTATACCCACAGCTAACCAAATTGTGCACATGTGTTTGGGTGGGTAGAAAATCCTACATATGTGCAAATTTAAAATCAACTAGCAAGTAAATCGTAAACTGAGGGGTGTGCCCACTAGAATAATATTAATACTGCCCAACTGGCATTCCCCGATTGTACTGTGTCAATACAAAAACATGCCGGAGACTACAAATCATTCTGCCTGGGAGTGGGGCAGGGAAGAAGGCCGCATGCGGGCACTGGGCATGAAGGATGAATGTGTGTCACCAGGTAGAGATGGGGGAAAGGGAAGTGATAACACAGGCAACAGGGTGGCTTCCACTGAGCATAGGGGTGACGGTAGCGGTGCCAAGTATGTGGAAAGTGAGCAGGGGCTTTGGCTGAAGGACGATGTCTCGCTCATTCCTCCCTTCTGGGAACCTCCTCTCTGCCAACCTCGGCTCCTTCTCTGTCGGCCCACCACCACAAAGCCTTCCCCAGTTACACCTAGCCAGCTCTGCTGTCCCTGTAGTTAAGTCCATTTGAGTCTAATAAATTCAATTAATTTTCCTTCTGCAGGCCGGTGTTTGTATGGTACTCTGTTGCTGTAGCCATAGCCTGTGAGCCCCAGAGAGCAAGAGTCCCAGCCCCCCCAAGTCCAGGCTCAGCAAGACTCTGCCTGTCAGTGTATCCAGGGCACGGGCCCCACTCACCCGCAGCAGCTCCTCTTCACCCTGCTCCTTCACGAACACCTCCTCCAGCTCTTGGTTGAGCCCCTCCAGGCTCCGGTGCAGGCAGGGGCTGAGTCGAAGGACAGGAGACCCTGAGGGGAAGCTGGGAGGGGATGCCTGAGGAGGAAGCAGATGAAGCACTCGCTGAAACCCACCAAGCCCCGACAGACGTCAGCTCTGACTGGGGGGTAATGGTCATGTTTACACAGCAAAACCACATAAGGACGATTTGGGGACAGTTACTAGTTGCAATAAGTCCAGTCATTGGGGGTTTTTCTAGAAGTTAGAGCTTTGCGAGGTCTGGAGTACGTTTGTAAAGGAGGTAGGAGCATCATGGCCTCAATTGTACAGGGGATGAGGGTGGAGGAGAGAGAAATTCACAACAGTAGGAAGGTCATCCAATGTCATTTACCAGGCCCAAGTTTGCACTAAAGCTTCGCCTGGGCACCCACGTGGCCACAGGGCATGCGGTGTGGGAGGGCTCAGGTGCTGTTCAACCTGAGATGTTCTGCCCACGTGGGGGGGGTGCAGAGGGAGGGTGCCATGGAGGAGAACAAAGGGGAGAGGGCTGGGGTGGGGACATACCCTCAGTGTTCCCCGCACAGCATGGTCCCCTTGGAGTGGAGAGCCCCGCTCCTTCTCTTTCCCACTGCGGCTCAGCTTTGTCCTCTGCAGTTGTTGCTTCAACTTGGTAATCTGGTGGCCCAGAGAGAGGGAGAGGGTGGCAGGTGAAGCAAAGCAGAAGTGCCCTGGGTCCTTCCTCCCAGGCATGGCTCCCCCCAGATGCCCACGAGGGACGTGGCAGTTGATCTTCCATCTCAAACTACCTCAGTGGTGTTCAAAACTGTGATGACAGGTTCATCAGGCAAGCTGGGTACCTTATCAACTAGATGACTTGATTTTTTTAATTACCATGTATTCCACAGATGGATCAGTTACCAAAAAATTTTAAAATACACAACACTGAAACCATTTTTGTCTTTCACAGATTCTGAAGGCACAGAATACTACTCTATTAATAGAAATGGCAAATGATGTTTTTGAATCCACTTTCCAAAGTACACTCACAGTCATCTCAAAGGGCCCGGGCCCAGGAAGGATGGAAGGATTTCCCCCCATTTTAAAGCAGATTGCACTGAGCAAGGAGCATGTTCTCCAGAGGGGATATCAGATTTTGTCCCAACTTCCATTTCCTGTAACAATTATGGATTATCATCAACAATTTTGAGTATTATCCCTGTTACATTTGGGATTCTGGACCTACTTGCCTCGGCTGGCAAACGCTCAGGAGAAGCCGAGCTATTTAAATATGGGCCTAAATTAAATGGAATTGGGAGGGGTAGATCATGCAATATATGACTACTGACAAAAAGAAAGTGCTTTTAGACTTGCTATTGGGGATCATTCGACCATGACTCCAAGCTTAGTGTAAATAACTTGCTAACTCTGATAATTACAAACTTTAAATACTCTGTATTTTCCACTAGCCTTAAACACTTCATATTTTTTCTCTGTTCTTGCAACCAAGAGGGCAGAAGTAAGTCCCCCGGAAAGGAGTCAAGGGTGACTCCTAGCAAGCTGGGCCATCAGGGGCTGCCCCACGGCATGGCAGACAGAACTGGTTTGGGAGCCTTGGAATTCCAGTCTGTGGCTTTCTCTACTCACCCTCGACGACTGGAACCCTCTTGAGAGAAAAGGCGGGCCAGGAAAAAGTGCTTGGGAATACTAACTATTGGTTTCTTCTTTTAAAACTAAGGCCGGAGGAATAGCTAAGTAGGACATGGAGCTGGGGCTTTTTAGTTTCTAAGAAGTCACTCCCTATCTTCCTCCAGCCTCTAAACCACTTATTTGGATCCAACCTCAAAGTAAAGTGAGAACAATGGTGGTTGCCACCCTGCGCTTGGCTGCTGTAGTCACCGGCCAAGCCCCTGCTGGCAGGAGGGTCTTGGCTCCAAAGGCCTGGCCACCAGGAGGCTGAGAGGCAGGTGCGAAGGAGTCATCTCATTAGGAAAAGACTAGGTAGAGGCAAGTGAGAATGGAAGTGTGAGTCCACTTTGGAGCAGGTGCATCCACGGTGCTGGGGTAGACAAGAGGCAGCTGCTGTGGTCAGGAAGTCAAAGAAGACAGTTACCTCTTTGCGGTGGTCTGTGCTGCCCCAGGACGCTGAGCGCTTGTGTGTACAGGAGCTGGCCCGCTCTCCTTCAAGCTCTTGCCAGGACAGGGGGGTCTGCAGGGAGAAGAACCCAGTGAGACAGCACAGCTTCTCAGGCAGGCTCAGGGGAAGCAGACACAGTCTCCTGGACAGAGGCAGCGGGTCTTTAAAGTCTTCTCTCATCTGCTCATCAACGTCCTCAACACTATTGGCCTCTTACTCTTTCAGACTTCTCCACCTGACTTCCTCTTTCCCCATCACCTTCCTCCAGGAAACCTTCCATGATGAGCCAGTAAGGCCAACCTGCTGTCTACTCTCTTATGATTTTACACATGGATGACAGGCCCAGCTGTCAGATGCTCCCCAACAGTGAGCACAAGCATTTCCCTCCCTATCCCCACCAGCTCCAAAGAGCGCGGGCTCAGAGACCCACTGGCATCCTTGATTCTCGTGCCCTCTGTGTGCCCAGCTCAGGCCCAGGTTCCCGGGAACCTAATGAAAACAAGTTATTAGATAGGAATCATTAATTGGTAAAGCAGAAAAAAGGCCAACAGAGATCCCCCTCCCTCCATCCCCGGCTGAAGCAAGAGACGGCTGTGCAGCGTGGTGCCTCAAGCTGGTTCCGTGAATTCCCCCTGTACACAGAGTGCTAGGAGCCCTCCTGAATACGCAGGGGAGGGGACATTTTCAGAAAGGAGGGAGCCAGGATTCTGAACTCAGCTCTGACTCCTGACCTCTCTTTGCTTTATCACAGCTCCTTCTCCTGGGCCCTGCTCTGCCCCTCGTGAGAACAGGGTTGTCAGTCTGCTGGCTTCCCTCCCACAGAAGACAGAGTTGGCCCAAGAGGGAGGCAGGGGGAGTGTGTAGACCCACTTCCTGAGCCCCCACCCAAGGGAGGAAGCTGTTGGCTCTAAGCAGGAGGCAGGAGGACAAGATCCCTCCCCACTACCAACATCTCTATTTCCATTCCAAGGGAGGGGCCCAAGGGGGAATGCGCCAGTGGAACCAGTTCCTCTCTAAGTTCTTTGCATAAGCTGCCAAAACCATGAGGGCCTGGGAACCGTCTCCTACAACAGATCTGCTGACCTCCCTGGAGAGGTTGCAGCAAACAGAAAGGGGGAGGAAAAGAGAGAAAAACCCAACAACTCAACACCCAACAGCTGCTAAGAAGAGCTCGTCAGGGGCAGTCTGAGCAGGACTGTGGGAGCAGTCCGCCCTGTGTGACAGCTGCAGTGGGAGGGGCCGCTTGGGGCTGAGGCTCCTTGGCTCTTCCTTCTCCCAGCTGCCCACCCATCAGGGCCTTTGCTGGGCTGTGCGACACAGCTAGGGTGAGGCAACTGCCCTACTTTCCTTCCCTGAGGCTAGTACCACAGGGAGACTATCAGAGATCCATTCCCCCACAATCCCCTCCTTTAGGAAAAACGCAGGCAGCACATCCTTCTGGCCCATGCCCCAAAGCCCTTGAGGTGAAGCTGGCTGACAGTCTATAGAAACCAAGCAGCTGTCTACTTCCAAATGCCTACATCTCTCTAAACCAGAGCTGGCAGACAGAACCTCAGAAAAGGCTGCTGCATAGACTGAAAAGTGAGGAGGAAATCCACGTCTCTCAGCCCCCTCAGCCCAGTGGATACATGAACGCTCCTCCTTCCAGGGCTCCAAAGCCAACCCCATAGATGACTAGCTCGCCTAATCAAAGTGCTGAGTCCCACGCTAGCCTGTTGCCCCTGGAAAGGTGGCAGAGGCTATGGAGGAGGGATGACAAAGGCTAAGGTGATGAGTCCATTTCCTTTCCTCCAGGAAGATAACTGTACTCACAGGTGGGTGGTGAGAGGTAAAAACAGCCACATTCAGGCTGTCACCAGTTCCCCTAACATCTCTGGCAAACTCTTCAACTGCCTTCTTTTTTCTGAGATATGTGAGGGGGTGGAAGACGAAATGTAGGCTCGTGCTGGAGTTTAGAAAGGATGTGAAAATTCATGGCAGGGAGAATCATCTCTCTCAATCCATTTTACACCCTGCTCTCTGCTCTGCATCGTCTTCCATCAACCACTGCTTACTCTGTGTAAACTGTGCTACCAAGGCCATCGCTTTGTCTCAATACTTGGCCCTGGCTGTAGATATTGTAGTGTCACCCTCCTTCCCATGGGCTCTTCTCTCATATTTGACTCTCTGTCCTAACCAAGCAAACTCAGCTCCTTTTTGTTATTCGTACATTCAACAAATAGCTACTGAATGCAAACTGTGTGTCAGGTAGTACTCCAGGTGCTGGGGACACCATGATGCACAAAGCAACAAAAATCCTCACCCTCTTTGAGTTTACATTCTAGCTGGGGACATTCTAGCTCTTCGAGTTTCAACAATGATAAGTACTAAAGAGAAAAGTATACCCAAAAAAGGGGTTGGGAAT